CCGGAAAAGAAAAAGTAATGGATGTGCCCTATGTGCCAAAACCTACTAGTTAATGTCTTTTTCATTAAAACTGAAAGGAACTTTATCTCAAAGCTACCAGAGAGAAGGCCTGGCCCAGTCTTGGATGGGGTTGTATGTGGCCTCATCATACCTCTGAGAGGTACTAAAACTTACCTGAATAAATACCCTAGCCCTGAGCTGTACTGATTGGCATGGTGCAGACGAAAAGACATCAGAGACCCCTAGAGGAGTAAGGACCAGTTTTCTCTGAGAGAGGGGAAAAAAAAAAAGAAGGGAGACAGCACAATGTTCACAGGATACTTAATTTCCTAAGGTAGATTGAACAGTGTAAAATTCAGCTAGTCCAGTATGCACAGTATACCAAAACAGCTGAAAAACATGCTGTTGCTGAGTTTTATCAGTGACCTTTTTCAGGGTAAGACAGAAAAGTGGTATTTCTAATTTTCTGAGTCTCTTTGAAACAAGGTGACAATGATTTCAGACAAATTTAGTAATACTAATATACAGTGAGAGGGTTTTTTTGTGGGGATACTGAAACTAAAATAAGTAGAATGAATGTCAGAAATAATTGCTTTAGTCTACTATGATATATGTGGCCTTGGCACACCTTTTCAGAGCAAAAGAGTTATGAGAGGGTAGACTGTATTTCCCATTGATTCTGCATTGGATCTTTTGATCTGTTGGACAAGGTATAATAAGAGTATTTCTGCTAGCAGTATGGTAGTTGTTATTCTGATATCAATGACATGCATACAAGGCAAAATGCAGAGTCAATGAAATCAACATTTTACTGCAGACCTGCCTAATTTCTTTCCTCACAGGCTAAGATACTTTTGCTAGAGGAAATGCATAGCAAATAAAGTGTTTTTTTTCTTTATTTCCAAAAAACTTTGACTAAGTGTTGTAGTCATCTTACTCCCATATGGCTTAAAAGCCACAAAATACCAATTGTCTGGGTTAAAATAAATTCTCTTTAAAAAACTATTAAGATTTTAATAAGATTTTATTTTCCACCATATGAACTATACAAAGTATCTTAACCATTGGAAAAAAAAAAGGAAGGAAAGACATCTACCTTATCTGCTTGCCTGCCTGAAGTCTAATAAGTACTTGATAATGCTGCTATGCTCTGCACAGCTTTTGGCTTTGGCCTTAAAAACACTGATTACCACAATGACACAGGGCTCAAAAACTTGATAAGCTGATCTTTTGTCAACAGAAACATTTATCTTGCCACAAAAGCACTTCTCAAATTTATCTGTTCGTATATTTACTATCCTGCTTTTGGCAACTCCAGACAGACGAACCTGAACTTGTAGGAAACCTTTCTTTTCAAGATGTGTGCAGCTTATTTCAATGGAAACAGGAAAGAAGAAAACAGGTGAGCAGCTGCTAAGTGCAATAATACAGTAGTGAATGTATGCTCTTTCCTCCTCAAACCGAGAATTCCAACATTTTAAATGGCACCTCTTAACATGAATTAACTCTGCACAGATGAGTCAAGTACATCACGAGAAGACTGCCATTCTAAGCTATTTTTTGATCTATTCAGTAATTATGATTCTAGTTTATCAGAACTGAATAAGCACAGTACTTACTGTTGGAAACACCTATTCTTTGATAATTACATTCAGTAAAGCACTACATCATGTGTCAAGGAGCTGAGCTGAAATTCATTAATAAAAATCAGAAGGAAACCCTTTAATTACAGCAGCGGGAAATACTCCTTGCATTCAAAGAAGAACTTCTGAAAGTACCATGCTAATGGTTTTAAGAAAACAATTTCTGAACAGCAACCTCATTCAGTCATTTTGAAATCCAATTGCTACTGTGCATTGAATTGATCCATCTCCCGAACACTACCCTCAAAATCCTCAAAAACAGCTAAGATCAAAAATGAAGCAGATGCATCGTCTCCAGAAAGCAACTTATACACCTATGCTTTATGTATATGAAATCTGACTTGTCTCACTCTGCCATAAAATGTAAATACTCCAAATGAATGTACACAAAGTGCACTAAAAAAAAAAAAAAAATCAGACCATCATTCACTGTGCAAAGTAGCAAAACAAACACTTTCTAATAATATGTGTGTGGTGGGGGAAAAACAAGTTTTCCCCCTAGAGTTATAAAATAGTAAACCCCCCAGGGGGCAGTTACCCTTGGGGTTGAGCCAATGAGCGCTTCTGCAAAATATAAACACATCACCCAGACCGGAAAAGAAGGTGGTAGTAGTTGTTGTTGGAGAGAGGTGGCCATGTTGTAAAGCCATGAGGAGAAGGGGCAGGAGCCCCTCTGGGGGGCCACAGCCCCCCAGCCCCCGGCTGTGGGTCATAGAAATTCGGAAACAGTGTTAAACTGGACTGAGGTCTGTGACTGAGAAGCTGAGAGTTTTTCTCCACCGTAAGCAACAGCAGGAGCAGCGGTGGCAGAAGCAGCAGTGTCCGGAGGACAGAGAGCCAAGAGATAAGAGAGAAGCAGCAAAGCCGGCATGCAGCCAAGGAAGACACAGAGATCTCTCATGGAGAGAGAGAGAGAGAGAGAGAGAGAGAGAGAGAGAGAGAGAGCAGGACTAAGCCCTGCAGAGACAGAGTCTGGGGTAAGAACTGCAACCAACCCCCCAAACTCCTTGGGGATCCCCCCCTAGAGAGGAGCGGTGGTGGACTCCCACTTGAAGAGGAGTCTTGAAATGCAGCATGCACTGCAGAGAAAGGAGCTGAGAAGCTCAAGGCTTCCCGGAGCTGGACCAGGACGGCCAGAAGAATGTGGAGGAGGGCTTCACCTCCCCGCTGCTCTGAGACAGAGCACGACAGCTCTGCAAGGGGGCTTGAATCCCCTGAAGATAAGGACCGTCACGAAGGCTCCTGTACTTCGTTGATATGATGTGGTGAAGCGACCTTTGTCCCGGTGAACACAGCCCACAGAAGAAAAAGACCCTCGCCTGGAGTCAAAGGGCCGAGAGGGGCTTGGAGGCCTCCCTCCTGTGTAATGATAATAGATCCAGCCACAGCTGCTATATGGAAGGAGAGAGACTACCACCCTAGAGAGACTGCTGCTCTGAGAGTGGAAAGGATCTCTTCCTTCTTCCCTCCTGGACTTTTATTTGGAGGAAGCAGAGATTTGATCCATTGTAAATACTGCTTTATCATAGAAAACATAATTAAGATTATGTGTGTATGTGTGTGATGTATTATAATATTTACTTGTAACGTCATTGTAATATAATCCCTTCCCCTCATTTTGAGTCTTGTGTGGTGTCTGGAAAACCCATCTCACAGTGAGTTGAGATGAGGGAGAGGGGTTTGGACTCGAGAATTGGATTTTGGGGCTCTCAAACCATTACAATATGGCTGTTTAAAGTTTTCCATTTGGAATGCTAAGCACTCAGATATGGGAGGAGGTGATGTATCCCTAATCATCACATTCGCCTTTAAACTTTCCGGATTGGTAAACAGGGACATTTCTATAATACACACTGTGGTAATCTCAGATTACTGTCGTATACTCTGACTTTGAATTCAATCACCTCATAGGGAAGAATTTATCAGGAAAATCTGACTGCACTCTTGTAAGATGTACCAATTAAAATGAAAACTCAAGATGCTCAGGTGCCAGAATCTAAGCACTAGACTCCTGATTTCTATTGCTTAACAAGAGGAGACATTGCAAAAAAGCTAGACAGTGCTTCCCTATCTGTGGATCAGCAAAATCTCGGATGCTGATTCTACACAAAACCTGAAGCAAGCCTGAACTATACAAATTCTGTGACGCTTAGCAATTCTTCCAAGAAATGTGAATCTGGTTATACTGTGACTGAAGATATTTTTCTGGGAAATACAGGGAGCAAATATTAGTCATATCCTTAGTTAATCTAGTACATAATAAATCTGCAACCAGCTACCAGGTTGGTGGTGTTCTAGGCAGGTTGTAAGCATTATTAGGCTGTGTACCTGTTTTCCTTTCCATTTCTGTGAAGGTTTTAAAAGATTCTAAGTCAGTCTGTGCTGCTGAATTTGTTGAGCATTCACACTTGTCATACGTCAGCCTGGGAATCAAGTACCTTCTACTCAAGGTCTTATCAAAATAAAATAAAATTCATAGAATAGAAGCCTCAATGCCTGATAAAAGTGGGGAATGAGGAGTGTGCTTGCTTTGGTGCCAATAGCCTAGACCATGAGAAAAAAATTACTTCAACAGTAATTTCTTCTGCAAACATAGTAATCTTTCTGTCCCCCCCCCCCAGCCCTTCTCCTTTTTTTTTTTTCATTAAACCATTTTAGGTATCCTCCTTATTTGCCTTCTAATGGTGTATATAGCGCTTTCTTTCTCTCTCATGCTAGCTTAATCATGACTGTCTGGAAAAAAACCTCCACGAAATACACAAAGTAGGAAAGGATAAATAAAATGGAATTTTCATGCCTTTATACAGGATCTGGGCATTCTAATTCCTTCTTTCTTTCTTTACTCAAACATGGGAAGAGTTGTTCAACTCATAGATCATGTATGCACAATTTCGTGGAGCCATACAAGATACACTCATCCCAACGTGAGATCTGCAAGTTTAACACCGGTATGTTTGAATTTCCATTAGATCCTGTGACTTTTTGGTTGATGCCTATTTGCAAGACAAACTCTGCTGTGCAACCATACTGTAAACTTCTTGCCTTTCTGTTAAGCCCTTCTAGAACTACATTATTTCCTGAAGGCTAGAATACTCTTTTGAGCTGTACACAAGCTGTTGAACTTTAGAAGCACTTGAAGCTATTGCCAGAATAACAGACTATTACTTTTTCATTCTACAAATTGCCGTAAAAAAAGTACATGCATGCATACATGTGTACAAACCCAGTCAGGGCACACATGCATGTGTAGACAAATAGGTATAACTACTGTCTGTATCAGTCCAGTTCTTACTATTTAGAGATACTGGTAAAGATAGACAGAATAGAAAAAACAAACCTGGAACAGACATTTCTTACCATGTGCCACCCAGCCATGTTTACACTGATCACAGGTTCTCAGGTTAATCTTCCCTGGCTGAAAACATTCACATGTGCAATTTACCAGTGTACAGCGAATAGCCTAGAAAAAGAAACAAAAAACACATATTAATGTATTTCTACCTGCTAGTAAAAATTTGTTGTGAGGGCTAGAAGGATATGAACTGCATAGCAAACCCCATTTTTCTAACATCCAAAACACTGCTCTTTAAGTAGAAATTAATTTTCTTTCAAAAACATATGTTAGTATGTCCCATGGATTTGAATACATTCCTAAAATCTTTAAAAGAATTGCTCTATTTCCTTTAGGAAAAAAAAAAGTGGTAGTATGAGGATTCTGTAGGAAAACTACAGATATATTTCCCCTTCTCCCATGGTACCCAAACTTATTTTCAGGTTTCCTTTATGTGGTTCAACTAAGAAGTAACTCCACTACAGAAAGGAGTAATGTATTTGATGGGTTCCCAAAACAGGATAAAGTGATCAAGGTACAAGAATAGGACTGGTTCATAAAACATTCTGTAACTTTCCTTTGCATTTATCATTTTCTCTAGTATCTAGGCATAGCCCTCTAGCTCCTAACATTCCTCATTTGTTAAACATATTTTTCTCTGTTTCAGAGGAGCAATTCTAAAACTCCTGTCCTATGCAGAGATCTCAAATTTGCTTAAATAATACACATTACTAATATCTCATCTTACTTTTAAAAATTATTTCAAAAATTACACAGGTTTACTTTGGCAGGGGCTAGCTACATCTACAGAAAAGTGAATATAAATTGAATGAGACTCTTTATAGTGTAACAGACATATGTTTTTAAATAGTGTAGAAGATGACCTGTGCACTTCAAACTGCTGCTAATAAATTTATGGCATGCATTTAGATGTAATTTGCATGGAGATTTCTGAGATGGGGATGCTTATTCTGATCATTCACAGATTAACAATCTACTGTAACTACCAGAGCTGCCAGGAAAAGATATCTTTATAGATTTAGATGCAATCAATGATTATGTGGGGCTAAGGTGGAGGAAGGGTGCTTGGTACCTATTGCCACAGCGATACTAAAGAATTATGAAGACACTTGCCTTTTCCAAAGAATTAACAGACACATTCACACACTTTTTCCATATCAAAAAATAATTATCTTAACTATACTGCCTTTAAAAAAATTACATTCAGCATTAGCTTGCCCAAGCTAAAATCCTTGGTTGCTGACAATGAAAAAGACTCAGAGTTATTTTAAATGTTTCATCTCTTTACTTATTTATCTGCATTAGACAGCAATTTAAAGACATTTGTAGTTCAGGGATACACTTAATATCTGTATTTCTCTGACAAATTTCGGGTACAAGTGTCCTTTATCCTATCCTATTGCTCTTTTCAATCTTTTACAAACCTACTGTGGAAAAAAAATCCTGCTCTGTTATGCCTGACACTTCAGGTCCTCAGCCCCAATGTCACCTGTCCAATTACTCATTAGCTAGGTTATAAAACACTCTTCTATGTATGCATGATTAAAAGAATTAGTAATACGAAATATAAGGGTACTAAAGAAGTGCTGACTATGCAAGAATAATATATGTGTTTGTGGGTTATGAGAAAAAATTCTCCTGAAAGGCCCTGTTTCATGTTCAATAGTTTATTGACTCAGTAATATATCAGGTCTCCACTGGTCAGTAATGGTGTTCTTTCGCTAATATGTTCACTAATTAATGAACTCAGTAATTAATTGTACTGCAAGAAGGAGGTCTTAAAAAATGGTATTCTTATTTGACCATAAAAGATTTTCTCACATTCACTACCTTTTTTAGATCTCTGCACCTATGTGGTTCATATTTGTTGTATTCGATGGTATTTTGATTTGTTCACTTGTCACTTACAGTATGTATAAGAGGTGTAATATAGTGTAGTACACGTAGCAGATGAAACTCTGACATATGGTAGAGCTGCTTTATTACGGCTCATCAGCATTTCCATTACAACCCTACCTACTTTTGGCCTAGAGGCTAACAGGTTGTCTGTAAAAATTTGATCCAGCTTGAACCTGAAATACAATGTTTCAGCTTAAGAGTAAGTTTTATTACACATGTTAAAAATGATCCATTTAGCTGTTATAGATTTAAGATGGGGGAAAAAAGTTAGATTACATGTTTCCTTTCTTCTTTCCTGAGTTAAAGAGAGTATTGATGATGTAAAGTGTTGAAGGAGATTAATTAATTAGTATAATTCCTATCTTCTATATCGCCCAAAAAGTTCATCGAAATTTTTCAGAAACGTGAAAATGTCAGCTTTTTCCCCAAGTAACTAAATCTGAAAAGTCTTCAAAAAGAGCTATGCACTTTTATAAAGGAAGGACCCAGAATGGCAGCCAGAGGTGAATGTGGCATAGATTCACCTAAGAACCCAAAGCTGTAATGCAGATCTCCATTTTCCAGTGGCAGAATTTTAACACCCAGTAGCTGGTGTGCTTGTAGATAGTAGTGTGTGTTGGGGAAACTTAGTCAGACATGTGTTACTGCTTAACTTGAAAGAGGTGGGGTCGGAAGTCTGGATAAGAAAAAGATCCTGGGTGAGTTTGTAGCCCCTAAATATTGTAACTACTGTTCAAACCTATTAAAGAGTAGGTATAAAAATCCAAGGGGGTAGCAATATTAAACTTTTGCTAGAAAGTGCTTCTGAAAGAGTATAGCTAGGCATTCTGGAAGTCATGCCCTGTAATTCTGCCTTCCTGAGATTTTGCTAAAAAGTTTATGCAATGGAACTTCGCATATTAAACTATTTTGTAGGGAAAGAATCATAAATCTTCCCTGACTAAGGTCTTCCTCGAAATTTCTCTAAGAAAGACAGAGAGAGAACAGAAGGAAAGGAAAAGAAACCAATGACTTTGCCTAGTAAAAGAAAGGGTAAAATCAGCAAATACAGCCTCCCCTCTACTAGTTGGTAGGCGACCGTATATTTAGATGACAACTTCCAGGTTACATACCCTTAAGTATGTAACAAAACATGGTTTTCTGCAGCTTCTTGAGACATGCTGTTATGTTTTACCAAATCAATGGCCTTCAGCTAACAGGAGTTCTCAGACATTTTTATACATCCCTTCAAGTGAGTTCCTAACATAACTTTACTTGTATTTCTATCAAAATTATAATGAGGAGCTGTGGAGGAAATAGACTGGATTTCAGTAGAATCATCTAAAATAGCTTATACCACTGATTCCTAAAATCCTAAAATTTTATAATTGACACTGAAACAATCAGAAATATCCTGCTGCTCTCTTTGAGATCTTCTTCCTGTAAAGTATAATACAGAAAGAAGGAAACTTTGTCTAATATTAAAGGATGATTTCTAGTACACCTATGCGTTAAGTTTGTATGGATAACATTAAAAGATGTTGGACCTGACTTCTGTGGGCTTCCCCCAGACCAAGGATATTCATTTAACATTGTTTGGGTGATTTGATTATATCTAAAAAGTAAATATTATTCACATGTTAATAGCCTATAGCAGTGGTGGAAAATCAATCTGTCTATTTTGCAGAGATTCCAAGGGATAAGAGGCAATAACCTACCATGAAAGGGATTACAGTGTGGGAGAAGGAGGATAACATGTAAAAAAGAGATATGATTCTTCCTCTGGAGTTCTTACCAGTGACTACAAGAGATGAAGGGAGTTTTAAACGATATAACATTCTGCAGAGACAGGTAAGTTTTGCAATAAAAAGTCATAATATAACTTGAGTGAGGCCTCAAGAGTCCTGTGAGGTTGAATAGCATCTTACTGAAAAGAGTCCTGTGAGGTTGAATAGCATCTTACTGAAGTCTCAGCTACATCCTTCTATGCAGTGGCAGTGCTAACAGAGCTTTACTCTTCACGTCCTTGTCTCACCTTTTTCAAGTACAAAAAGGTATTTAAGAAATGTCCGCTATCCAACATCTATAATATATTACTGTGCATCGAATACACAATGGAGTAAACTATACCCACTCTCTGTACAATCTACCTGTCTAATGCATCGCCCATACATTTATCCTACAGAGCTCACAAAATCTAAATCCACTGTTACCAGATACAGGAGCATGAAGCTTGAGGATGATCTGGTCAGTGAAATCTTTTCAGCAAGACTGCAGACCAGCCAACTGGTCCATAAGTGCAGTTCTTGATAGCTGCATTAAAATCAGTAAGACTTAAGTGCATATGCATTCTGCACAAATGTATGAATTAACAAGAATGCCAAGGGTTTTAAATATACACGTATATACACATACACATACTTAAAATTTAGATTTTGTATAATGTGGCAATTCACAAGTTCTATGCGTTTTTGTAATACAGGCAAGAACTTCCCATACTTAACTGACAGAAAAAATTATCTCATTTATGATTTTAGAAACAATAAAAATGTTGGTGGTGTATATCAATAAATGAAATATTTGCATGAAATTACAAGAAGTAAAAGCAAAAGTAAAAGTAAAAGCAAAGGTTACTCGGAAAAGTAAAAATTTCCAAGTTTACTTGGAAAAGTAAAAGCAAAAAGCACTTTTTGCAACTCATCTCTCAACTTTAAGAAAAATCAGTATGTTAAATTAACATTTTCTATCTATTGTCAAAGTTTTATTCTATATTGGAAATGCCCAATACCTAATTTTGAACCAATATTTTATTGAAAGTAAGTAACACTGTCATTGGGAGAATAATTTAGAGCCATACAGTAGTTGGTCTTAAGACATGACACTACATCAAAATAATCAAAGTTGATGAGAAACATAGAGATCTACACTTGTGTTGGTTTACGTTGACTCATGACAGTAAGTTATGAAGCAGCAGACAACAGGTAAGTTCTGCAAATGTTTCAGCACTTTTTTAATAGAGAGTCTCCTCTGCCATTACTTTTTTCTTACTGTTTCTTTGTTATAAAGTGAAGAAGACAAAATCTGTCTATCTAAATTGACACAATTACTCAGCGCAGGACTGTACCATACTACTGTTTTACATTGGGAGTTTTTTCTTTCTTTTCCAAAGCACATTTTATATGGTCTGTACACAGCTCTTAGAAAATCTGTCACTTCTCTTCTTTACTATT